GGGCCCTGACAGCGGCGGGAATCCCTTCTACAGCACGTCGGCCGCCTCGCGCTCCTCCTCGGCCGCCTCCTCGGACGACGAACCCGAGCGCCCCGGCCCCGCGCGGGGCCCCGGCTCCCCGGCGCCTGGCGCCCCCGCCGCGCAGGAGTCGGAGGAGGACGAGGCTGTCGCGGGCTGGAGCTCCACACTGCGGGACCGCCCGCCCCCGCGCTTCGAAGACACTGGCGGTAAGGCGCGGCCCGGGGGAGGCCAGGCTGCCCGGGCGCGATAATTCCGGATGCTCCGCCGGCCGCCTGGCGCCCCCGCCGCGCAGGAGTCGGAGGAGGACGAGGCTGTCGCGGGCTGGAGCTCCACACTGCGGGACCGCCCGCCCCCGCGCTTCGAAGACACTGGCGGTAAGGCGCGGCCCGGGGGAGGCCAGGCTGCCCGGGCGCGAGAATTCCGGATGCTCCGCCGGCCGGCTTGCGGGTGGCGGCTGTGCGTTTCAGGAAACAAACGAGGCTGCAAGAGCAGGGCTCTGAAGTGCGAGCGAGGCTGCGTGCGGGGCTCCGCCGACTCTTCGTGGGTAGACAGGAAGAGGCGAGGCCGCGGCAGCACTTTGCCGCTGGCGAGGACGTGGGTGGGGGGGTGCTCCCCTCCCTTGCTAGAAGTGTCCCCGCGTCCTGCAACGGAAGCCAGTCACACCTGTAGGGTCTCTCCTTAGGGGTGAGTTAGAGTTAGACTTTACTAGTTGAAGGAATACTGGAACCCTGACGTGTCTTGGGACTAGGGGAGTCATTTTGTATTGCTGGCTCCAGAGCAAGCTTACCCAGATGCTAGGTGTGGGGCAGGTAGCCGTTGGAGCGAGGCTGAAAGGTTACCAGTGGCGTCTTCACTGGACTTTAGTTTTCTCCAGTTATCTGAGAAACTTTCCGTGTCCTGCCATTCAGGATCTCTTGTGAAAAACAGGAAAGAGTGAAAGGATCAGTTTAGCAGCATTAAGGCGCTTGCTTCAACAGAAGGAGCTTTCAGGTGTTTCCTGCTTATTGCTATGGTCACAGATCAGCTGGAGAAGGTCAGAGAAAGGCTAGCAGCTCCGCTGCCTGAGATCCCCTGCTACCTCCTTTTGGGGAGTTGGTTTTAAAATATCTCCACTTTCCCTTCAGAAGCTCAGCAGCCTCTGTCCTCTCTGGGAGGTGGAGGCCCGCCGTTCCCACTTGTCCTCTGATGCTTTTGTTCCTTGCTCAGCGGCCTTCTTGGTCTTCTGTGGCAGTCCCTTGTTTCTGCACACTATTTTCATGGATGGACTTGCGTGCAGCTGGTAATGCTGACGACCAGGGAGTGGCCACAGTGGGTTTGATGCTGGGCGTTATGCAACTTTTCCTGCCGCTTTCCCTGATGGTTGTTCAACCAGTGGGGAACACAGCACATAGGACAGGCTCGAGGGACTCCTGGCTTATCCTAGACTAGGATCAGGACATCACGCTGCAGCCTGCTGGTAGGGCTGGCTGGCTTCTCAGCAGGGAGTGGTCTGCAAACCTCAGGCAGGCTGGCTGCAGTGTGAATTTACTAAGCTATAGCTGGGCTTCCAGAGTCCAAGTTAGCTGTACAGTGTTTGGGGTGGGTCAGTGTAAAAGCTTCTTCTTATTTGGGCTTTGATTAAGAGTTTGGGAGTTTTCAGTCACATCACTCTGTATAATCCTTTTCCACCCCTGTATTTTCCAAAATGTCATACGGTCTTCCAGCCCCAGACAACTGATTTCCTATTGGCTCTTAAGAATTGTACCTGCCCAGAACCCTGGTTTGACAGGCCTTATGCTGTAATGTCTGTGATCCAGTTTTTGATCTCAGAACACCTGAGATGTGTGTCTGCTTGG